GCTTGGATTGAGTCATTGTTGGGACAACTTTTAAACGGTTCAAATGCTCAAAAAACCTAGAAATATTACGATAATGTAACACTTTATAGATGCACAGAAAACTGTGCCTGGATATTGCAGATAATAATGGCGAAAACGTGATAAAAGTGAAATAACTAACCTTTGTTTGAGAAGACACACGAAGATGAAGCACATGGAGTGAAAAAGTGAAGCGAGACCGTCGATAACATAACGTCTCGAGCGTTAAACCCATCGATGAAAGAACACGATGCTAAATGCAACCAATGATGAAAGACTTAAGGTTGGGAATTTGACAATCAGATCACTCCGAATCATYCCGAGGTGTCTCCCRAGCTCTTCTTTTCAATAGGCRTGCGCACGCTGATGTAAGAATGCGCACGATGATGTAATTTCGGGTTACCTGTGCTGTTAACTCTCACTCACTCATTCACTCACGAACTCAACCCGATAGCTAATTGGCTAGTCTAGCCTCTTTCAGAGGCAGCTAGCCACAAAAAGAGACAAACATGTCAATCCTTAGTTGTATTGGGTGATGATTCATGTATTCTTAAGAAATGTAAGTATGGATGATTTATATACAATCAATAATAATAACAATGACAACAACAACTTTATTTTACAACCATAAATAAATAATTCAAAGTTATTTGATATTCAATAATTTGGTAATTACTCAACATTTTTCAATTAAAAAGTGTACCCTCTTTTGAACTAATGGAACTAGTATGTTAATTTTTTTAAAAGTTGGTTTTCCACCAATTCGGCGATTTTTGTGCAAGAATTATCTCTAAAATGAAGCCGGTGACCTCCATTTTTTTATCGCTTTTTTGCAAGTGTATGTCATCGCCTATATCCAAAAAAAAATTCATCGAAGTCATCACGGATTACAATGCCCACGAACGTCCTTAAGTGAAACTGTGCTTAGAAGATTCCACTGGAAAAAATATCAAAAAAACAAGTCTGATCAAGTTTGGATATTGACCTGATTTGGCAATATCCAAGTTAAATACCAAATCCAACATTGGTTTTTTATTGGTTATATTTAGCTTTGAGAAAAAAAGTTTAAAGTAGCCAACCAAAATCCAAATCTGTTTTTAGAATATCACATTTAAACTTGTTTAAAAAAAAACAATGTTGTTTATCTCAATTTACAACTTTGGATTTTACAAGTATTATATAAAAACAAAGTTGGTTTAGTAATACCCAAATTTGGATAAAATACCAAAAAATAACCATAATTGTTTTTGTAAAAATCCAAATTTGTTTCTACTTTKTATTTATGATGAACCAAAAAATACAAGTTTGCATTTTGTAAATCCAAATTTGGATAAAATACCAAAAAATAACCATAATTGTTTTTGTAAAAATCCAAATTCGTTTCTACTTTGTATTTATGACGAACCAAAAAATACAAGTTTGCATTTTTGTAAATCCAAATTTGGATGAAATAGCCAAAAAATAACCATAATTGTTTTTTGTAAAAATCCAATTTTGTGTCTACCTTGTATTTATGATGAACCAAAAAAACAAGTTTGCATTTTGTATGAAATACCAAAAAATAACCATTTTTTTTTGTTCAACCTCCAGTAAAAATCAGAGAAATTCAGACTACAGTACCGGTAGTTTGATCTGTAATTCTGATTAAGTCGGTCATCATCTGTCTGAGTGTGTCTATCTACCTTAAAGTTTATAACTCTTTCCAAGAATTTCCATGCCATTCTCCAGTGGCAATACTTAATATGCTTCCAAAGTTAATGTTGTCCATTTGATTTGTGTGGCTTTCTTTTACCCACATTTTGTTTGTGTTCCAACTGCGATGCTTTATGTAGAAATAYCCTTTTACAATTMTCTGAGTAAATAGTACATGCTTCACTTGAGCATGCCAAATTTCATCATTTGCACCTTTTACAAGGATCATATCATTTACCTMGGGATAAGCAGGGACAATGACAAAAGGTAAAGGAACACTCTTTCTATATGGATCCACAATTGCATAATTTCCATCTTGTGGAAAGAGCATTATTTCTCTTTGAATATCTCTAATACTAAAACAGCRACCAGGTTCAAATGGTTTAACAAAAAGAGTGTCACTAAACGGATGATGGATGATTTCACCTTCATCATTTACCAAAGTCTGATAAGTGTCACCAACAATGAGATGATAGGGTTCATCATTAACATAAACAAGCAGAAAATCACTAATGCGCAAGTAGATATCAGTTTCTTGATGGTTTACTATGGCAAAATCACCTAACCTGTACAGTTTCCCACCCGACTCAATCTGATGTGTTGGAAGAAATGCACTGCGATAACTTTCAGCAGCTTCWTTGATTTCACATGGTTGAACATCTGATAAGTACTCATCTATATCATCCATTTCACCCCTTGTAAGGTGATATGCCCTCCCAGAGCCAATAAATACGCCTTGGTTAACTTTTGTTGCATCTTGGCTATTTGCACACAATTTAACCAGATGTTTAGCTCCCTCTAGAGAATTTGCTACAACCTGAAATGTTAAAAAAGGTAGAGTAACACAAGTACTAAAGTATGCAAAAAAACGTAATTGCTTAGCTCAATTTAGACTTAGCTCAATTTAGATAGGAGTATCTTCTGCTTATTACATCAATATTCATTGTGGAACCAAAATGACAAAGTATCACAACATTGGTAATAATTACCTTTTCTCTGTGGACTTTGGGAACTTTTGATGTTCGGTATGATTTCAGATTATTTAGGTTTTGAAACTTGAGAAATTCTCTTTGAGACTCTTTTCTTGCAAATGTTTTTTTCCAAGTGCTTCCTATTGCTAGACTGCCTGACATAGCGAGAGACAGCTCTTTCAAAGTGTGTACACCAAAAGTTATCAGGAGCACCAAATCTAGCAATATCTTCATGAAAGTGAATTAAATTKTGCAAGTTAATTGTGCAGGCTTGGGTTCCAAAATTTTCCTCCATGAGAATGCAATAACGCCAAGATAGATTGTTAAAGTTTTGAATCATATCAGCTGTCCAGCCATCTCTTCCAGCATTAAAAACAAATTCAACCAGTCTAGGAACTGGAGCCCATATTTGATACTGGTCTTCTGAAAGTATTCCATGGAACACAAATTCAGATGCAGGAAAGGCAAATTTTTGAAACTCTTCTGCCTTCCAAGATCCAAGGTATTCATAGTTTGTAGGTAGTCTTGAGGCTTTGTAGTCAGTTGTCCATGGCATTTCCTTCAATTTACTTTTCAATTCACGTTCATCCACGTATCCACCAGTTATTACTCTAGTTAAATGATTTTTCACAATATTAAGTGGTAACAAGTGCATTGCATCAATCACAAAATCAGTTAAGATGTTGAAACCATATAATGGATTAAGACGGTGTAGTAAACTAAGTCCATTGAAACCAGCATCTCTACTTTTAGTTTGAAAGTATGTTGTTCTTTCCTCTTGTTGAATATCCTTCATTTTTACTAATTCTTCTTCCAGAACCCTTTTTCTCCATGGATGACGGTAATGTTCACGAAACCCTGGATAATAATTATGACGCTCCTCATTTAACCATGTTCCTGTATAAATATAAAGAATGCCAGTACATGTAAATTTTAATTTGCAATTTACAGTAAATACTAGGAAACAAATAACAATTAATTTATCACAAAGTTCT